TGAGAATAAATGACTAATACATATTGGGAATTTGACACAAACCTGGGAGAAGTTAGCTGCTTCTGTCATGATAACAAGACAATGATACTGATGATGAAATAGACAAGTGTTCTTATTTTTAAAGGGCCTATGGACCAATAATTAATATCAATCTATATTATAGTTTTTTAATTTATTTGGTTTATTCTTAGAGACAGGGTCTAGCTCTGTCACCTAGGTTGGAGGGCAGTGGTGCATTCATAGCTCACTGTAAGCTCAAGTGACCCTGCTGTCTCAGCCTCCTGAGTAGGTAGGACACCCCTGGCTAAATTAAAAACATTTCTTTTTAATAGAGACAGGGATATCACTGTGTTGTCCAGGCTGGTCTCAAACTCTTGGACTCAAGTGATCATCCCTCCTACAGTGGTGGGATTATAGGTGTGAGCCATTGTATCTGGCCTACATGCTGATCCTAATGATAAACCCTCAGAGATGACAATAACGCTTTACAGAGATATTAAGTGACTTTTCCAAGGCTTCCACGTAGCAAGTGGTGGGGTCCCAGGATGGCAGTGTCTGTAGATGTAAGTTGTGAATGATACTTTCTCCCAGCTGAAATAATGTCTGGGACAGTGTTTGGTGAGTGTTGTGTATGAGACCATGGTTATGATTATAGACAGAATCCCTTGGAGAGCAGGGTCACCATACTAATTTTAGGGTCTTCAACTATTTAATACAGTACAGTCTTTAGCGCACAGCAGGTAATAATAAGATGGGAATAAGTAGATTAAAAGAGATTTAAGCGAAATTTAAGAGACATAACAAACCAAATACAATAAGTGGTTCCTGTTTGGATCTTGATTAAAACAAACCACCTGCAAGAACACATTTTATATATTTGAACAAATTTGAATCTGAACTGGATATTAGATAATATGAACACTTACTGGTGGCTTTGTTAAATGTGATAATGGCACTAAGGTTAGGAAAGAAAAGGTCTTTATTTTTATTTTTTGAGATTTGTATTATACTATTTAAGGATAAAAATCACCCGATGTCTTAAATTTAAAATATTGTAAAAATTTATATGAAATAGGAAGTACATGGAAACATCAAAATGAGAAAAGAAGGAGAAAGTGAATAGCTAAAATGAATTTGACCGAACTGTGGTTGAAGCTGTATAATGATGACATGGACATTTTTTGTACTGTCTATTTTTGTGTATGTTTCAGAATTTTTCCCAAGAAACCATGCTTTTCCTTCACAATACACACACACACCCACACCCACACACCCAGTATCCCATCCCTGTCCTTGTCTGCTGGCTTGGCAAGGAGAGGGACCCTAGTGCAGGAGTGGGTGGTGTGCTGACTGAGGGGAACCAGTGGGAAGAAATTCAGGTAGTTTCAAGACAGAGAACTGGAGGGGGAAACCAGCCTCACTCACCGGTACAGGCTCCTCGTCTCTATGTCAACTACCTCAGCAGCCACGGGTCCCATGGGGCCCAAGAACTCATCTTCAGTCCCTGGAGGCTCCATGTGAAAGGTCCTCAGAGGAGAAGGAGGAGACAGAGAGAGGGGCTCCACCTGTGTTGCCTGTGAGGAGCTTCCCTCTGGAACAGCAGGGCAGTGGTCAGCTCTAGATTCCCATTAGCCCCCTACACTGGACCCTGGGAGCCCTCCCCAAGGCTGGCCTGTGGCAGAGAGTGTGTCTGCAGTCTCCATTCTGCACCTGGGGCTGTCTGCCTGCTGTCTGTGGATGCCTTCCCCACTGCCCCCAGCCCAGCCTCTGCCTGCCTGCCCTTCCTCACTGGTCTAGAGTTTGCCCTTGCCATCATGTCCTCTGGAGGGCAGGTGGGAAGAGGAACATGGCTCAGAAGATGGATGGGCAGGGATGGAGAGGTGATTCCCAGGCCTCAGCAGCCCAGAACAGGAGACTGGGCCCTGGTTCTGAGTAAGACTCATGCCACAGAAGTTCTGGAGATGAGCAGCACCAGACCCTGAG